TCCCTTGGTTACACAAATGGGAAGCCCCACAAATAAACGCATCTAACACCAGTGCAAGAGGACAGGCAGAGGTGACTGCTGCCTTATCCCTGGTGAGGGAAGACTCTTCACTCCCATACTTGGCCGCACCCTACCACCAGTTCTCAAGTCTTGATAAGGGATAAAGGCAGTCCACAGGGACCCCCCTCCCCCGCCCGGCCCGCGTGCTTCTCCTGGCCAAGCAGCCCCCCACCCCCAACAGCTGGGCAGGGGATTGGGCTGTAGGGCTGTGGAGGAGGGGAGGCGGAGGGGTGCTGGGGCTCTCTTTTCCTCTAGCCCAGCCTTCCTAGCCAGCCCGCGACAACCCGCTCCAGGAACCTGGCCTCAGAGAAGCCGCACTTCCCGGGCACCATGCAGTGGATCAGGGGCGGATCAGGAATGGTGAGTGCACGTTTCCCTGGCTTCCCCTGCTTGAGCCTTAGTCCCCGAGCCCCACCTCCAGTCCTTCCCACCAGTGCCCACGCAGCGACCCCCCTCACCTCTGCCCACTGCCCTTGCCGCCATCCTTGAGCTTGCTGTGGCCATTTTAAGAGCGCCTGCAGGCCCGCGGGCCTAGGGTAGCCCCCTCCCATCCCCCCTCCGCATTTCTGCTGCCCTCTGAGATTGGGGTGAAATGAGGGTGGGAGCGAGAGATAGACGTTCTGGAACAGCTCAAGAATCACCTGGGAGGTCAAAGAGGCAAGGGGGCTGACAGAGGGGCTGAGAGCAGTGAATCTCCAGGGAGGCAGGCAAGCTGGTAAGGGGTTGAGGGAAGCAGTCAGAAAGCCTGGATTATGGAGGGTGTCATTGGGGAGCTGCACTTAACCCACCCCCGGAACTAGGCTCCGTGTCTCCCCTGATTCTGGCCAGTCCCAGAGTATAAGGACTAGAAATCCATTCTGGGGGAGGCTGCCTTGGAGAGCCTTTAATCCTTCCTGGGGCGGGGGTCATCCAGTCCATACCTGGGGCTTTGTGAAACTGCAGAAAACCCCATTTGGACCTACATCTAACTAGCAGAGCCCCTCTGCCCTGGGTGTTCTTGTGTATGTTTAACATCCTCCTCCTATTTTATGCTGTGGTGCTACTTGGAGACCTTGGAATGACTTCCCTTTGCAGAGGGGAAGTGGTGCCTGCATCTTGATGCTTCACTGACTGAAGCCTGGTCAGGTGCTCTGGGGAGTGAGAGGCCACAGTGACTTTGTCCTCAGACAGCAGACATGGACAAGAAGGTCTTGGAGGGCAGTTGAGTTGGGTCAGTAGGTACTGATCACAATGACAGCCCACACTTCTGCATTGTCACCTACAACCTGTAGCTGACACAAAGTAGCCTGAAGTGATTGGGCAAAAATTGATATTTAACTTCTTTTTCTTTTATTCTGGGAGAGAGGAGGGAATATGCTATGGTATGAGACTTTATTAAGAGAAACTGTCCTTTTCCCTTCCTCAGGGTTTTTCCAGGGTTTCTGTTTCACTGATTATTAAAAGCATCAGCTTTATGTGTCTAAATGCATAGGCTTCAAGAGACCCTTCTCCCCAGACTTGTTCTTTCTCAGGAGTTCCATTAAGGCTACATCAAGTGTTTGTAGAATCCGAAGAGATTAGAGCAAGTAAAAATATTAAGAGTCCTTGTGGTCCATCCAGGAAAACTAACACCCAGAGAATGAGAAAGACTTGCTCAAGGCTATAAACACTTGGAGTCTAGCACCTGTCTCCAGACTCTCGTACTGTCCTTCACCACTGCTTCGCAGAATCAACTGTTCAGTGGTTCTGAGAGAGGCAGAAATGCACAAAGTAGTCATGATCTTAGGGAAAGACCTTCAAATATGAACAAATGCCATCAAACTTGCCTGAAAAATTCCATGCTAGTTTTGGCATTTCTTGCAGTTGAGTCTGGGTGAGACTTTCATATATATATAGTAATATGTTAGGGGCCCCGAAGCACCTACTGACAACATATTAAAGTAATGGAGAAATCTGAAGTTTTGCCAGTTGTGTGTGAGAGAGACTAGAGTGGCAAACATCTTGTGAAGACTAACAAAGGTTAATTGATGGGGATAATCTCATATTTTTTATAGTGTTAAGGACGGAACCCAGGGTCTTAACACTGACTTATATTCCTATCCCTTTTTATTTTGTTTTTATTTTTATATTTTTCCCCTGTCCTCCCTTCAATCCATGCACTCCTCCCTATTTACAAAGACTTTTTTCCATTTTTCTTTTTTTTCATCAAGTTTATTGGTACTTTTTAAGTTTGCATTATAGTTACAATCATCATTGGGATCTTGTACCATTACATGACAGGTCTTGGTTCTCATTTCTCCCCTTGTCCCTGCCCTCCCTTCACCCCCTCCACCCTTCTCTATGTACAAAGACTTTGTTTCCATTTTTTCCCTTTTCTCACATTTATTCCTATTTTGGTTTTATTTTGATGCAGGGTCTCACTAAATCACTATGTTGTGTAGGCTGGGGAGAACCCTCAGCTTCTCAAAGCACTATAATTATGGGGATGCACTACCATGCCCAGCTTCATTATTATATTTTTAAAGAATTGAAGGAGTAAATATTATATGATGAAAGCATTAGCATTTTCTAGAATTCAAAAGATAAGAATAATAAAGTCTATTTTAGCCTGGGAAACAGGAAACCTTTAATATTGTTCCAAATGTTAAATGTTTGTTTAGAATGTTTTTGGCTTCAGATTTCTAAATACCTTTAAATGAGGCCATTTATGATCACCAAAATTCCTTCCAGGCCTGAGTTTTTAAGATTCCTAAGAGTAAGTGTTGGATAAAGGTTAACTAATAGATTACTAGGAAAAATAAGGAGTGTGTATCTTGCCTTCATTTTACAATGTGGCTAGTCAAGAGGTCTTCCCTCTTTGTTCTTTCATTTGCAAGACACCTAAAATATACACTTGAATTTTTTTATTATAATAATGAGATTTTCTTTCAGAACATTTGACTATTGTAACATTTCAAGTGTAATGTGTTACACATATTCCTTGAACACAAAACATTGTTCAAGATTTTAAAGAATAGAATCTCTTTTTTTGGGGGGGGTACCGGGGATTGAACTCGGGCCCTTGCACTTGCAAGGTAGGCCACCAAACCGCTGAGCTAAATCGCCAGCCCTAAGAATAGAATCTCTTGATAGAGGGTGCTACGCTGTGAGTTGAGAGATAAGAGATGTTAAACTATGTTCACAGTGAATGAAAAATTGTTCAGGTATTTATTCACAACATCTGCTGCCAATGCTCATTTTTACTGGGTTAGACACTGTGCCTAGTGTGGAAAGAATACTCTTCTGAGTCACAAGTGTAAGGTTTAGGGCTGGCTTTTATACTTTTTACTTCTGAAACCTTTGCCACACCTCTTTCACCCTCAGTATTCTCATCCATAAAATGGGAATAAAGTGTCTTATAGGTACTTTGAGGACATTAATTCATTTAAAAAATATAGAGTATTCAATATGAATTGACATGGATATAGACATAGATGAGAGAGCAGTGAACAATAAAAAAAAATAAGTATTCTCAGGGAGCTTACATCCTAGGCTGTGGAGAAACATTAAAGAATTGCACAAATGAGTATACAATACACCAAGATATGCTAAATACTAAGGAAAAAATACTGTTAAGACACAGAAAGTGGTAAGGAGTGGTATGATGTATTAGATCAGTCAGAGCCTCAGAAGACGTTTGCAAAGAGATTTGAAGAAAATGAAGGGATAAGCTCTATGTGTATGTTCAAAGTAAGTGGGTTCCAGGCATAAGGAACACCCCAAAAGACCACAACTGGTTTAAGGAACAAACAATGTTCTGAGGATGAAGAATTAGCGGAAGAATGGCAGTTAAAATCAGAGAGAAAATAGACCAATTTTATAGGACAGTTATTGTGACTCAGATGGGGAGCCACTGGAAGATTTTGAATAGATGTGGGTAAATAGTCTATGAAATTTTAAAGGAAATAGATTGTATTAGAGCAAAGACAAGAGCTAAGTCCAGCTTAGATATAATGGTGGCTTAGATCTTGATGATAATATGGAGATGATCTATATGATGAAAGGTCTGTACCTACTATTGTTTGTAGATGCTTTGTGTCTTTTTCCTTTCTGATTATATGTTTGGATCCTCAGATAGCTGAGAGTGGAGCTAGAAAGAACAAAGAGTGGCTGTATGCTTGCAAGGACATATCAACTCAGTGATTTAATGAACTGCTTTGGACTCTTAGCCACTAATGAGACTAATTGAAGGGTGGTTCCATGTAGGATACCAATTAATTACTTTCCTGATTCTGAGAAGATTAAGAATGTTTTTATACTTTGGAAATGTTGTATACCTAGCATACATAATATCTGGAGTTGATAACTTTAAAATATTTAATATATTAATATTTAAAATATGTCCTCTGTATGATCGTTACTTTTAGTATTATTCATGTAGTGATCAGTACTATTCTTAATTTTCTTGATTTGTTCTTTAATTTTTAAACAATGAAAAAGAACAATGAATTCCTATTTTAAGGAATTTGAATTAAAAAATTATGTGTGAAGTAAGATGTGCATTCACTGAACAGAAATATACCTTGCAGTTGGAATTATCTTGCTCTTTACTTTAAGCACAAATAAAATTCCAGTGGTCACAAAAAATGACAGAATTGTCATTTTTGTCTTTATAAACACTGCACTAGCTTTGTTTACTTTAAACCCTCTATTTACATGCTCAAACATATAGTACTAGAGGAATTGTGTATACAGAGTACTTAGAGCTAACTTGAATAATTATGTAACTTTTACAAAGTGAAATAACTGAATATGTAGTTAAATCTGTGTGTGTCAGGACTAACTGTATAACTAGGAGTTCTGTGAGTCAACTTCCAAGTAGAGTACAATGTTGATAAAAGGGCAAGTAATAAAAGGTGCTAATTTGGAACTTTATATGTATATAGTAACCACAAAAATTGTTTTGAATTTTGACCAACACATTTTTTGAAGGAGAGTTTTATCACTGAAATTGTTTACAGTTGCTGATATATAGTGGTAATAAAAATATTTTGACTTTTAGTCTTTAAAAAATTCTCTGTAGAGTAGTGCATGAATTCTTTTATTGCCACACTCACGTTTCTCCCTTCTCATTGCCAGAGAAGAATAAAAATTTATGGACTAATCCCATGTCAAATTCCACATGATCTTTATAAGAACTACAACATATGAGGTGGTGGCAGTCCCATACAGGCAAGATGAAATAGCCAACTTGTAAGTTTAGCAAATTCTAACATAAATCTGTCCACACGGGTTAAAACACACAATGTTTTATTATTTCACACACATCAGAAGATAAGCAAACCTTGCCTAGTGTGACAGTTTCAGAAATTTTAAAGGAACATTTCTGCTCCATCATACCT